AGCAGGGAGGGGAGAGGGGAGAGGGGAGGGGGAGAGGAGGGAGGGGAGAGAGACTACAAGACTGCTGCTACTTTCAGGTCCCTGTTCGGAGTGCCAGATGTTGCAAACCGGACACAGAAAGAAAGCAGGGACACGGGGAAATGAGTTCTGAAAAAGAGGCAAGGCTAAGGCACTGTGGAAAGCCCCCTTTCTTAGTCTCTCTATGGTTTTTATTTAGTTTCAACCAATCATCCTTAAAAAATTCAATCTCCAGAGATTATAATTTACCTTTTACTTAAGTGCTGCCACCATAACAGTGGGTAAGCTTAATCTTTAAACTCAGACCAAAGTTCAGACATGGCGTCTCTCAGGTGGGAGGCTGGGTGTAGGTCTCTGTTTGCAGAGGGCATCCAGTATCTGGGGGGGGGGCTGGGCGGAATTCTCTGTTTGCAGAGGGTGCTCAGTCCTTGTCTGGACTCTGATCTAAGCTGTGGCTCTGCTGTCACTATGCTGGGGTATCTACAGAACCCTGACTCTCAGCTTCTCCTGTCGCTTTGGGGTTTGTTACTCTGTCCTGTTTGATGCTTTTTCTCTCCCTTTCAGGCATAGAACACCCCGTTTCACATGTTTCGGGTGATAACTGTTGTTACAGTAGAAACATTTTCTGTTTGGTAAGTACCTGTGCTCTCTTTCACTGTTTAACTGAACCGCAAACAGATGATCATATGCAGGCGTGAAGCCGGCAAGCTGTGCAGGCCGCGGCCATGGTGGGCTTGGGCAAGAGCAACAGCATTCTCTTGGGGGTTCTGAAGAGGTGAGCCCTGACACTTTAATGAAACAGACAAGCCCTTGACCTTTCAGTTAACAACCAAATGCTCCACCACTGTACCACCAGGGCTCCTAGACTCGCTGTCAAAGCACTTATTAGCGTTATCTCGAAATAATAAAAAAGGGTTTTATAAGTAAAAAAAAACCATCTTTTTTTATTTTCTGAAAATTTGTTTTCATGATTCTCTTGAAAGGGGGCTCAGGTGTCCTAGTGAGCCAAGACTTGTGTTGCAAACTCAAAGGCAGATGGTTCAAATCCACCAGCTTCTCTGTGGGAGAAGGATGGGCAGTCACTTCCCGAGTGATTTACAGCCTCTGAAAACCTGTCAGAAGGTCAGCTGTGGGTTAGTTCCCACTCAGCAGACCTAACAACACCAACGATATCATTTGGACATAATTACTAGCTCTGTTTTATTATAAAGTGCCCTGGTGTAGTGCAATGGGCAAGCGCTTGGCTGTTACCCAGAGTTCTGCGGTTCGATCCCAGCAGCCACTGTGTAGGAAGAAGTAAAGATCACAACCTCACAGTCCACAGGCGCCTCTGCTCTGTCCCTCACCGCTGCCGAGTGTGTTATTGCCGTGGCTGCGTGCTGTGAAGTTGATCTGTGTCCCCACAGCTCCCTGTGGGGATGAGAAGTGCCCCCAGGTTTCTCTGGGAGGCCGTCTTTATAGGAACAAATCACGAGGTCTTTCTCCCACAGAGCTGCGGGACGGACTCAATCCCTGAACCTTTTTGGTCATAGCAGCTGCGTACTTCACGATCATACCACTAAGACTCCTTGTAGATTCTGTACAAGTTACCAAAAGACCCCACACTTCTCCCAGCTTTCCGGGTGATGCCACTGTAGATAGTTAATCTCAAAAAACGAGAAATTGACCTGGATACAATGTATCTGCCCGTTGTTAGACCCCCAGGTCTCAATGCTAGCACAGGCCCTAGAGGAAAGAGTGGAAGTGACCACGTGATTTCCCAGGCTGCACTTGATAGGAGGGCTTCAACGATGAAGTGCTTGACTGCTAACTGAAAGGTTGGCAGTTCAAACCCACCTGGCAGCTGTTGAGGAGAGAAGTCTGGTAACCTGATCCTATTGTTGTCGTTAGGTGTTGTCCCTTTGACTATGACTCATCACGTGCTGGGAATTACAGATCTGAACACTGCCCTGTCCTGCGTTGTCCTGGTCTCAGACAAGCTGGGGCCCACTGTGCCGGTCACTGCGTCAATCTGTCTTGTTCTGACCTCCAAGCATGATGTCCTTCTCCAAGGACTGGTCTCTCCTAACAACATGCCCAAAGTGAGACCTCGTTTCACCGTCCTTACCTCTAAGGGGCACCCTAGGTGCATTTTCTCGGAGACAGACCTGTTCTTCCGGGAGTCCGTGGCACTCCATGTACTCTTTTCTAACACCACAACTCGAAGGCATCAGTTCCTCTTCAGTCACCCTCATTCTGCTTCTGTATTCTCCATGAAACATCCCAAAGGAACACCCCTGGACAAGTTTAGGAGACGCTGGAAGCCTCCCCTCAGGGAGCCTGCTCTGTGGAAGGCCGTCTCTCTGTCAGTTCTGGAGGAAGGTCCTTGTTTCCTGCAGCACCTGTTGTTGTCAAGTATGACTCATAGCAACCTGAGAAACAGCAGATCTGAACCTGTCCTGTGCCATCCTCACACTTCCTGACACACTAGAGCCCTTTGCGGCAGTCACCATGTCAATCCACCTGGTTGAGGGTCTTCCTCTCCTTCACCGACCCTCCATCCTCCCCAGCATCATGTCCCTATCTGTGGAATAGCCCCCCTAGCAACACACCTAAAGTATGTGAGGTGAAGCCTCATCATTCTTGCCTCCAAAGAGCACTCTGGCTGCACCTTCTCCAAAAAACATCTATTTGTTCTTTTGGTCGTCCATGGGATGTTCAGAGCTATTCTCCAACACCACAGCTCAAAGGCATCATTTCTTCTGTCATCTTGATTCATTGTCTCAGATGCGTAGCAAGTGACTGGAAAGATCATGGCCTGAATCAGGTGCACCTTAGTCCTCAAACTGACATCATTACTTCTCAATAATCTAGAGAAGTCCCTGACTACAGATTTTCCCAATGCAATATGTTGCCTGATTTCCTAACTGCTAGTACTAAAGGTGTTAATTGTGGATCCAAGTAAGATGAAGTTGTTCATTGTTTCAGTCTTTTCTCCATCGATCATGATGTTGCCTATCAGTCCAGTGGTAAGAATCTTTGTTTTCTTGACATTGAGATGCAATCCAAATTGAAAGCTGCATTCCTTGATCTTCTGCAACAAGTGCTTCAAATCCTCCTCGCTTTCAGCAAGCCAGGTTGTGTCATCTGCACAGCACAGGTCATCAGCATCTGCAGGCCTGGACTACCTGGGAGATTACCCTATGCCAAGGAGCTTCCTAATGCAGGGCCCTGAGTCCAGAACGACACGCTCCATTCCAGACGATTCTCTCTTGGTGGGACTGAGGGGCCCCCTTTTTGGCTGTCTTCCCTTCCTTTTATCTCTTACAAGTGAAAGAATGTTCCAAGCCACGCGCTAGGGAAACAGCGCTCAACTGGGGTCAGGGCTGTGAAGGGATTAAGAGGCGTTGCACTCCCTGTGTTGTTGTTAAGTGCTGTTGCGTGGACTACAGTCACAGACCTTGTCAACATCAGATCAGAACCGTGTCCTATCCTGTGTGGTTCCGCACGGTCTCCGCCCTTCTTAGCCCCACTGCCATGGTCACTGTGTTAATCCATCTTGTTGAAGGTCTTCCTCTTTTTTCCTGCCCTTCCACCTTTTCCAACAGGAGGTCTTTCTCCAAAGACTGGAACCGCATAAGAACGTGCCCAAAGGATGTGAGGTGAAGCTTCAGTGTCCTTGCCTCCAAGGGGCTGGCTCTGTGACCACACTTCCTCTGGGATATACCTGTCTGGTTTTTTTGACCGCCCGGGGGATATTTGCTCCTCTTCTCAACAGCCTCGCAACTCAGAGGCAGTTCTTCTTCTGTCATCCTTAGTCATTGTCCAGCTCTCAGTTTTCGGTTCCATCGAGTCACCTACAACTCTGAACAACACATCCAACCCTTGTCCCATCCTGCCCTGTCTTTGCCAGCTCTGCTGTGCTCAGGCCCATTCTGATCACTGGGTCTTCCTCTCTTTGACCTTCCACACAGGATACAACTGAAAATACCATGACTTGCATCAGGTGCACCTTAGTCTTTCAGTGGACTTCTTTGCTCTTTCCTGTCTCTACAGTTTAATCGTCTTAAGAATGGTACATAAGGCGAGCTCTAGTGGCCTAGTGGCAAGAAGGTGTACTGCAATCCCAGAGGTGGTGGTGGTTGTTGTTATGTGCCATCGAGTCGTTTGCAACTCATAGCGACCCTATGTACACAACAGCTCTAAACCCTGCTCTATCCTGTGCCAACCGCACCGACTCTGACACACCCATCCCGATTACCCCAGTCACCGAATCAATCCATCTCATAGAGGGTCTTCCCCTCCTGCGCTGTCCCTCCACCCTCCCAAGCA